GTCGAAGCACCTGCTGAGGAGCCAGCAGCCTTGCTGCCGTCAGGACCCCTCGAGCCACCAGTCGAGCCCCCCGTAGCACCTCTGGTCGAGTTCCCGGTTGAGATTCCGGTTGAGATTCCAGTTGAGGTGCCTGACGTTGCAATGGAGGAGGCACCGGCAGAAATTCCCGTAGAGAAACCCCTCGAAGCGCCAGTCGAAATCCCAGCCGTCGAGATCCCCACAGCCGAACCGGAGTCAGTCCCGTCAGCGCCTGCTGAGGTTCCCATGGTGCCAGAAGACGACGGCCCGGATCTGCTCGCCGGTTTGGAGACGGAGCTGGATCGACAAGCCGAGATTAGCAAATCCCCACTCCCCGAACCTCCTGCGGCCCCGCATCCGGAGCCAGCGGAGCTCCCCGAGATTGCCAACCCGGTGCCGTTGCCCGAGGTCCCGCCCATTGAGCCTGAGAAGCCCGCGGACAAGCCGACAGAGGTGGCATCCGAGAGTGCTCTGGCTCCCGAGGTTTCGGAGATTAAGGAGGCAGAAACGGTTCCCGCTGCGCCTGATGTGGCCGCGGAACCGGCACCGGCTGAGGAAGCTGTCGCCCCCGCTGAGACGGCACCTGAGGAGACGGCACCTGCAGAGGAGGAGCCGGAGAAGAAGACGGAGGAGAGCTCGACTGATGCCGTTGTACCTGCTGCTGATGCTTAGTTTGCGTTTGCTAGAGTGGATTTGTCGAGGTTTACTTGTCCGGGGGTGTTGGAAGCTATTGGGGTCTGAAACGGCGTAAAAGGTGAACTAGCAGGCTCACGGCTTGCCTTGAGTGTAAACTATATGATGGAGTATCGTCAGATGTGTGATTTTGGAATACGAATACCGTTAAATCGGCAAAATTGCCCTCATGATCGTTTTGCTTGAAGTTATGACTCTTTCAGTGGTACAATCGATGATGTGATGCTTGAATTCTTCCAGGGAACATGATACATGCTCTCACCGGGTATCATTTGATTGATCAGATGTACGGATATTCCAATTATGTGCAAAGAATTGTATGCCATTCCTTTTTTCCCCCTTTTTCCCCCTTTTGCTGCAGCCAGCAAAAGAAGGAGTCTACCATTCCAGAACAATACTATCCCAAATGAAGCCCCTCCACGTCGTATTGCGCGTAAGCTGGAACGTAATTTCGTTTTCCCCTTGCTTCAGCAACGCACCGGGGACAGGGAACTCAAACAGCCGCCACTCGCCCGCCGCCGTGGCGCTGCGGTACACGGACGGGTCGTTGAGCAGGCCCGAAGTGGAGTCGACGCCGACGGCGCCGCTGGTGAGGTTTCCTACTTGCTGCCCGTTGGCGAGGACGACGCTACTTGCTCCCGTGGAGTAGCCCGCCAGGGAAACAATCAGGTTCGCGGATGTAGGGGCCGGGGTGGGTAGGGTGGGTATGCGGAAGGAGATTGTGTAGTTTCCCTTGTAGGTTTGGCCGTAGCACCAGTCCGAGGTTTTGCTTGCGGAGCAGGAGCTGTTGCTGCTGCTGCTGCTGCTGCTACCGCTTGCGCCGGCGCGGAAGACGATGTTCTCGGGACACGAGGCGATGATGGCGTGGCCGAAGTAGGGGTCTCCTCCGTGGGCGAAGCCAAGGGATGTGCGGTCAAAGTCGCCGACCTGGAAGAGCTTGGTGCGTTTTGAGACGGCCCAGTTGAGTGTTCCGAGGTCCATCGTCTGGTCTGCTTCGGTGACGTGGACGTCGTTGAAGAGGATGTGCGTCGTCACGTCAGCGAGGGCGGCGCCGGCGGACCAGGCTTGGAGGGCGTAGCCTGCGGCCGTGGTGCGGACATGGGGGATCGAGAAGGCGCCTGAGGCGTCGGCGTAGGTTGTATAGTAGTAGTCTGAGCCCATGTCGAGGGCTGTTTTGTTGGGGTGGTTGTCGCCGAGGAAGACGGCGGCGCCGGCGGCGGGGCGGCCGTCGGAGAGGAGGAGTTTACCTTTGACGGTGCCGCGGGATTGGTAGGGTGCGTCGTCGAGCCAGGGGTAGGGCCAGGAGGCGAATTCGGAGGCGGCGCGGGATTCTGCGTCGGATTTGGAGCCGTCGTTCTGTGGGAGGGTGGTTAGTTTTTCTGAAGGGCGGATAGGGGCAAGGAGGATGGGTAGTCAGGGGAGGGTGTTCACGTACGAGGTACCAGAGCCAGGGTCCCCACATCTTGCCGACGGGGAAGACGTCGACGGCGGAGACTTGGAAGTGCGTTCCGTGAACCATGTTGAGTTGGACGGCATCGCCGGTGGCACTCTCACGGTGGACCTAGGGGATGTTAGCATGATGCTCTTGGGGTCGCGTTCACGGATCAAACACATACCATGAGCTCCTGCTTCAAGTGGTTGCCGTTGTAGTAGTCCTTGCCAGCATTGATATACCAGCTTCCAACCTCATCACCATACACGCCATAATACTTTTGCGTGCGAATGAAGTCGGAAAAGTCGTACTTTGTGATATACCCTGTGCCATCCGGCGTGCGCCAGGTCTCGTCCTGGACCTTGTTCTCTGGCAGGTAGTCGGCCAGCTTCGGCAGCGGCTTGTCGTGGAGATCCGTCTTTCCGTTGGGAAAGGTAGTGTTGTCGAGGCGCCAGAGGGTGCGGAACTCGCCCAGGGTGGGCAGGTTGCGGTTGACAAAGTACTGGTAGGCGCCGGCGAGGCCTTGGAAGATGACCCAGTGAAAATCGCCGTCGTTTGCGGTGAACTTGACGTCGATGAAGGAGGTGCCTTTGTGGGTGCCCTTCTTGGCGATGGTGGCGGATGACCAGGCGATGTCGTTTGCGGCGCCATCTAGGGAGGTGGTGAATATCAGTTCTACGACTAGGAAGATTCGAGAGTCGAGATGAGGGCATTCACATACTGTAGCTCACATAGTGGCCGACGGCGTTTCCAACGAGGTCGCGGTCCTTGTAGTACAGCTTCACTCCGTACTTGAGGCCTTGGGTCATGTTCCACACATCGTTGCCAATGATCCACGTCTGGTTGTCGACCTGCCTGAGAAAAGGTTCGGTCTGTGTCGGGGCCGCGAAGGCATTGGAAATCAATCCCCCGAAGGCGGCGGCGAAGAGACTGGTTCTCATCTTGGCAGACAGAGCTTCAATGTCACGCACGTCTAGAGAGAGAGAGAGTAACGACGACAAGAGTCCGCAAGGCCTACTACTCTCTTGTGTCCTTTTACCTACTCAAACAAGCACCGAGAGAAGACTAAATAAGTCATGGCGATTCAAGACCCTTACTCGAGCCTATCCCAAACAAGCATTGAGCCGCGCAACCGGCACGCCGGTGCCGCTCTTCTCCTCATTCCTACCTCTCGTGGTTCGTGGGTTCCGTGGGGAAGAGGAGCCCATGGTTCGTATTGCTTCTTTTCGCCTTGAGGATGCGGAGTGGTGAATGGTGAATGACTGGGGGTGAGTCGACGTCAGTCGGTCAAGATTGGGGCGGGCGGATATCGCAAGCAGGGCACTACCCCGTTCCCCGCAATCCAAGTAAGCTTAGCTGCTAGCAAACGGCGAGCTTTGATGGGTGGAATTTCACATATCAACCTAAGCCTGCCTCGCTCCTTTCGGGAGAGCGGGAGATTGGGAACTGGGGAGTGGCCCGGACTCTGAGCTCTGAGCGCATCTAGGTTTTTTTCCTTTCTCTCGAGATCGCCAAGCTATCCCCGAGGACGTGTGGTGCTAGCTGCTGCAGCCGCCTGCATTTGCTTGAAGTTGGGGGAATTATTGGGCATGGGGTAACCCCGACTTCGGGGTACCATGAACCGAGGGTTGGGGTAGGTGCGTGGTCCTATAAAAATTGACCTGCCCGAAATGCTCGTTGTGCAGTATCTCGTTGTCATGAACTGTCATGAGCTGCAATTTTTGTGAGCGAGATTGCCGGTCAGCCGATTGGGTTTTGGGCTGAGATCTCCGGAGATGAAGGCATTGAGTTGCGGTCCGACTTGCTTGGAGTAGAGGTATCGTAGCAGAACAGGAGATCAAGGTAAGGGAGGCAGGACGGACCACGCAGGGCAGACGCTGAAACCAAGTCAATGAGGGACTATGTATAATAAATTGTGCAATCTTACCAATATTTGCTCACCCTGCGTACAATGGGACAGATCAAGTATCCGCTTTGCTGCGGCCTGCCAGGAGGGTAACGAACTTTCTGTAGACACTGCGCCTTCAATCTCGAAACGCATTTGAGAGTATGGGCAAGGAACATGAATAGGGCGTGACAGAATCCGAGCTCACGCTCTCGGGCTATGAAAACGTTAATAGGTAGAGTGTTGTTGACTGGAGTGTAACTATACAGAGTACCTACCTTGCACAGGAGTAAGGCAACATGTTCTTGAGAGAAGATGGCGAGTCAGAAAAGACACCAGCCACATAGTGCGTGCACAGACCAAGGCTTAGGTTACAGTACCTGTGGCTGAGTTCACGGCAGATGCGGTAGCGACAAGGGAGGTGCCGTCGGAGAGCTTCGGGAAGGCACCTTACTCTGCAACAAGACAAGTCAATCCAACTTTTGATTAATCAGTCATGACAAAACATCGGGAAGGAGATGAGGAGGTTCATTACGGAGTAGACGAGAGAGATGTTCGTACATGATCAGCCTAGGAAACTACCATGGAGGGGGATGAAACTGCGCTATTCTTTGAGCCTGCCGTGCTTGCCCGATTTCTTGCAGCTTCATGGGGAGTAATGCTGCTCAGTAAGATCGCGTCGGGTACGGGGTTGCCCCTTCCTCTTGTCAGGCTTCTGGTCGGTCCTTCTCAAAGGGTTATGCATCGGGATATCGCAGGCACGCAGGATGATCTGGGCTTTTCCACAGTTTTCTGCTCCAATGTTTTTTCTCCTTACCATCAGGTAGTACAAATGCTTAACGTCAATATCAAGTGCAAGATCTACAAAGTACCAAAAAGAAAGAAAAAAAATACACTCCTTCGGGTCACGTCAATACAAGCTCCCACATAGCGCTGGGTCAGGATCGACGGCTACCCGAGAGCGAACCTATCATGACCACATCTCACAGACCTCTGGAAGCTCAAGCGAACGCACAGAGGGACCCTTCCAAGTTCCCGCCCGGAGGTCTTCCCCATCCGTGTCAGTGTCTCACGGCACAGCAATTGGTTCAGATGGATCCCGAGCGGTCGGAACAAGAGAGACGCCAAGTCGGCGATGAATGGATACTCAACGGCCCGCCCAATGGAGACCAGCCAGACAACGCTTTCGGCGCCCGGCATGATGGGATGTTGAAGACTCCAAGTCGCCAGTCGCCAGTCGCCAGTCAGCCAGACACGGCCTACGGAGGCCGAAGTGAACGCCAGAACGGCCACCCGCGGAGAAGGAGATGCCAGGGATCATGGCAACACGGGTGTTGACGAAACTTTCCACCAAGAGCAAGAGCTTAAAGTGTGCCCATCACGCCACTCACCACTGTTGCAAGCCCAGTCCTATTATTGTAAACCGGACTAACAGTAGCACTATGAAGGATTCGGCTTCATCCGTACCGTTTGCGCGACAACGAAAGAGAGTTTGCGTTCGACCTGCACCAGGTACAGTCCCTGCAGGGAAAAGGACGGTCTGGCCTGCCACGTCTAGCTCGACTGGTCCAAGTCTCCAGACTCCAAGAGGCTATCGTAGCCGATCCAAAGTACGAACAGGCCCCAGCGCGTGCCGCCGCCGCCGCGGCGCCGCGTAGCGTGGCGCCAATCGCATACAGAAGAATTCTCGCTGATATTCTGGTCGCTTCATCCTTTGCACCTGCATACCGGAGCTTCACTTTATATCACTTACATTTTGCCGAGTGCGACACCTACGCTGTATACCGTACCGAAAACTCGGCACATTGCATGACTGCGTAGGTGAACTTAACAGGGGCCCCAGGGCGGCGGGAAACTTGCCGAAGATAAAGGAAACATGAGGGAGAGGAAGGTGACGGTGATCGATCCTATACGGCTCCGATCCGCGGTTGTGGACATGCCGTTTTTGGCCCCCATCCGACGCTACCTTGTGCCGCAGACTCAGAGTGAGAGGCATCCATTCGGCGGTTCTTTCACCTTCCCTGGCAATGGCAGGCCTGGATGAGACTGGACAGTTCCCCGCCGCCTTTTTCTGCCTTTCTCAGTTTCCGAGGTCCTCTCCGCATGACGTTAATCAAGCCTCATCCAAGACTGACTCGCAGAGCCTGGCGAGACGCCATTCTCTCATTTATTCGTACGCCCGTCATGCCCTATCCTAGTCCTTGCGCCAGAGGAACGGCCATCGGCCAGTCCCATGGTTGCCTCACTTCCCGCACCGTCGTGCGACATCAGACGCTCCCCAGAATGGCCAACCTCAAGTTCTCAACCTACCTACCTTACTCTCCGTACGCTACGCAGCTGTGACAGCCACGCACCCACGGTAGTCTCTTGCAGCAACTCAAACCCCCACTGGGGTGCCCACCGGGGTGGCTGAAAGTCAAAGTGGCCGTTATTCTGTGTGTCTCGTAGGTTACACTCAACAACGTCCGAATCCCACTGGGTCATCCCCTGTGCCAACCCTCATGTCCATGGTCTGTGCAGCTTCAAAGAGAGAAACGCATGGTCCACCTCGTCCAAGAGCTTGGCATGTCCCTCGATATCGCACGTGGGCGAACCGGCACCGAAGAGGTTCACCAACCATCGACCGACCTTTTTCAGCTTGTGTGTGTCTATCCCAACTTATTAACGCGTGGGGCCCGTCAAGGATCAAGAAGGAAGTTCGAATCTTCGACCCTCTCTCCATTCACTCTATTGATTAATCAAACAAAAAGGATTCCATCAAAAGAGTAACGTAGCGTCTCGCCCTTCGGGATTAGGGTCCGCTTCACGCCATCGAAGCCACGGCAGACACCAGTGCCGATCACTGACGCGCCTCGAGCTCGCAGCCGGTAAACTCTAATCCCACGCTTGAACCTTTCAGGGGGACCAACGAGGGCAGAGCCTAACTGTTTGGGCCTTCATTTTGATTCCAGACCTGCGAAAAAAAGAAAAAAAGAGGATTACCGCCTGGATGGAAATACCCGCTCTTGTGCGTCCCTTTACGAGCATCTGGACGTGGAATGCCATCAAACAACGCGACCTCCTGACAAACTAATCATATCATATTTCCCTTTCCCACCTTCTTTTCCGCCTACACTACCTATAGTCGTCCCTTGGCCCCCACGCCCCGTCAAGCGGTCCCGGCTCCCGGAACGTGTGGTCTGCTTGCTTCTTCATCGACCGATTCCGTTCTCCACGAAATCCTTCACGGCCAATCCCCAGGTTTCCCGTTCCCACCGGTCGTCAACTAGTTCCACATCCCCGCAGCTTCGGTCTACTTGACTCTTGTCTGTCTTTTGTGGTTTGCGTTTTGCCTGCATACAACCCAGGCTGGCAATCAACCTGGCAGACCCGCGAGGCTGGGCGCAGTCGAACCCATGAGCGATGGACTTTGATGAAGAAACCAAGCCAAACCTGACAACCTTGAACATGAGCTCCAACGTGAGCGTGAGAAGCGAGTCTATCGGCGCCTTCGACCCTGCTACCCAGCAGCAGAATGGGTCAAAACCACCCATCAAGCGCAGGTCTCCAATAGCCTGCCGGAGGTTCGTCCTGCTCGCCAGTGCGGCGGACACATCGCGAATTTGACGAGCTAAACAGTATTCCAGATGTCGCCGAATGAGGAGCAAATGTATACATGAAAAGGGACAGCCGCCGTGTAAATCCTGCGCCGAAGCGGGCATACCAGCGAGTGAATGGTACCATCAGCACCAAGCAACGTCAGTGACGCGATCTCGAAGCTAATCAACGACAGCATCTTCCCCCAGCGAGGCCAGCCAGATCTCGACCGCGAGTATCGTCACCCTCGCTTGAGGGCTGAGAAGGCTGCTAAACGAGAAGCCGACAAGGCTCGACGCAGCGCATCAGATGCGCAAGTGCCCCGTGGTCCCGGCGCGCCAGCTCTTCGGAAGCCCGCAGACGAATGGGAGCTTCTCCCACCGCTTCCCGAAATCATCGACGCCGTCCACGTCTTCACTCGGAAGTACTTCCAGCTAGGCTTCATTCCGAAGGAGCTCTTGCCCCAGCAGCTGCAGCGAGACCACCGATCCGTCAGCGTCTTCCTTCTGCTTGGCATTCTCAGTGTCTCGGCTCGCTTCTCACCAGCCCTGGCCCAGAGGTACCATGGGGAGATGGAAGCCGTCGACTTCTTTATGGAACGGGCCAGCAACCTCGCGCTCAACGAACTGTATCAAGAGCCTACTCTGGAGAGATGCCAAGCCTTCTATCTGTTGAGTTTAGCGCAGCAAGGTGGTGGTATGAGGAACAGGAGCTACGTGAGTTCCCTGCATGGAGTATTATCATGGGCACTGCTGAACTTTTGCTAGATCAACATTGGCATTGCCACGAGGATGGCCGTCTTGATGCACTTGCATCGCGAGGAGTTCTACAAGATGAAGAATCCCACGAGGGAGATGATTATCAGGGCGGAATCTGCGCGCAGGACTTTGGTGAGTTGTTCATTGTATCAAAAGGAGGAAGCTTTGCTAACAAACAACAGTGGATGCTACACAGTCAGTGATCGCGCGCGAACGAAGACGAGTCGGCTTTCGCTAACAACATGTAGGCCAGGACAACCTTCACTGCGGCGCTCTTTCCCCCGTATCACTCGCTGCAAACGACATCACGGCTCTGCTCCCCAGCAACGAGGAAGACTTCGCATACGGCCGTGAGCCATTATCGCGCGCTGCCCTCGAGGATACACCACCAGCCCGCGAGAACCCTTCACTGATCCATCAACCATCTCGATCGCTGTTTGCGAGTCTGATGCAAGCACACTACTACTGGGGGAAAGTCGCTCGCCGGGCGTTGGCGACGATGAAGAGCGCCGATCCTTGGGACCCTGCGAGCGAGTACGCCATCACAGCAAAGCAGATCCTAAGCTGGGAACAGCAGCTTCCGCAAGACCACCGTTGGTCTATGGTTCTTCTCAAAGGGCACAAGTCCGTTGGCGAAGATCTGGTAGGTGCCGAGGATCACTACAAATGGACTTGTGATTGACATGTGCAGGCCTACCTCGGAGTCACCATGATAACGAAACTCTGCAACATTGTGCTGAGGCGTGCGTATCTCGAGAAGTAAGCTTAACCGCCATCTATCCTACTACTTCTTAACGTGCTGACCGGCACAGCATCATCAAACCAGGCGAGAAGGATATGCAACGCAGGGCATTTTTCGCAAACATGTCGGACGATCTCTTCCGGAATGTGCGAGAGTTATACGAGCAAATCGATGCTCAGTTCAGCGTCAGATCCTCAGAAGAGGGCGTAGGAGCCCAGATGGCGTCGTTCTGCGTCTACAGCTGTGGCCTTTTCTCGACGTACCTGGTCAAGTACCGGAATAGTGAGGACTAAGAAGCTGTGGATATGACTGCATCGTGCTAACCATGACTAGTTTGTTCCGACAAAAACATCGTCGCGCAGGCTCCGAATATGCTCCAACGGTGCATGTCCATTCTCATCGAGTCCAAGCAGACCTGGCCTCTCGCCTCCCGCTGGCTCGAATCTCTTGAGCGCTTCTCGCGCGATCCTAAAGCGGCCGCCTTTAGTCTTGAGGGCAGTATGGCTGACGGCGTAAGTCACCAACCCTTATGCCACCCACTGGTGCTCGAAAGGAAAAGCTGACGCGTGTCTTGACAGAATGACCGGACTCTCCGACCGCTCCATCCCTCGCCATCCAACTTCTCAAAAGGCCCACGCGCCGACGCGCCAAAGTATCAGCTCCCAGGCCCGCCGGCAACCCCCTTGAACGAGAAGAAACCAGTGCCACCACGACACAGCAGCATCAGCAGCAACGCATCCAACAACGTCCTCCCTCCCCCAAGCCCGTCACCAAGCCTACAGCAACAGCAGCAAATGCACCAGCAACACAACTCCGCATTCCCTCTCCCGCCGCTCATGAACACCACCCACCAACAGCAGTCCCAGCTTCATCACCAGCAACAGCAGCACCAGGCCCAACATCATCAAACCCTCTCGCCACACCAACAACATCACCTGCTACAACACCAACCGCAGCCACACCACCAACTCCAACATCAGCAACGCCACCAACATCCTCCGACACCTCACATGCAACAATCACAACATCAACATCTACCCCCAGAACTACATCCGCAATTCTCTCCACCGCTCTACTCCCAAGCCCCTCCCCCCTACAGTCCAAACAACGGCATGGGCATGCTTGTTCAAGCTGCCTCCTTCGATACCACAAGCCCGATCCTTGGTGCGCCGGCGCAGCCTCCGCCGTCGACGAATCCTTACGATCCGAATACGGCCGCGGCGGTGGCGGCGTTCTACAATTCACCTGGATCCACCTCCATCGTCCTCGGCCCTGGCACGGATGGCTTCGAGTGTGAGCTCCAGAGCTGGTTCGATGGCACTGCGCCGGTCCAGGCAACAAGCTGGATCGGGAATGGGGCAGCCGGGCTGGGGTGGTTTGGGTCCACGTGATGTATACGGCTGAAATGGCCTCCATTGAGGCAGAAGGAGGTGGGAAACAGGCAAGACTCGGAGAAGAAGACGAGAGAGAGGTTGGAAAGCTTGTGCGTGTGAGAAAGAACACTTTGGGTTTCGAGCGTTTATATCTGAGCGATTCGGTCGTTTCCTTTTTTTTTTTTTACATCAACCTATTTAATCATATCTAGAGATTGGGCGCCACGTCGGAAAATAAGGAAGGGGAAAAGAGAGGAGAGTCAACTTTGATGCACAAAAACCTCGGAGGGCTGGCGCAAATCATAGACGGAAAACCTTCGGGTCATTGGGTCATTTTGGAGCCATCTAGCCGTCATTATTCTCTGTTTTTGGCCATCTTTTCGTACCCCCTTTTCGGGTTATGTTTGGCTTATACATATTTCTAGATCGAGATACCAGAGTGAATTAAGTGCGTTTCCCCATCATATTCTTGTTTCTCAGGAGACGGATTTCGTGTGGAACGATCGCGTGCCATCATGTGAAGCGCACTATTTGTGCCAGTCCGCGGAGGAGACTGAGGATCTGAATCAAGGGGCGGGGGGTGGATATCGTCCTTGTCATGTCGGCTGAGTAGCATCGATATCCATACTCACGAACTCAGGAGATAAGGGCACGTAGTTCACTCCGGGAAGAACCGGACGAGCCCAATATACTTTGCTCATGGAAATTCCCAGATCATCCATCAGACTCATGGAGTTTGTCTTTGGGGCTCGTTCCACAAGAGTACACATGACGCTTTCGAATAAGAATTGATTGAAATCAATATATAAAAGCATGAGGCGACCAATACATACTCAAGGGGCTGCTTTCCGCAGAAAAAAGTCGAGCTTCCCTACTTCAATTCTCGAGAATTGCAAAACAACTTCCCTTCCTGGAGTAAAAGAAACGTACCCGAGAGGCAAACTTAATCTCGTTGCGGTGAAAACGCACCGAAACTCAGCACCGCGGCTTGGGCAAATGCAGTCTGAATAGAAAGGAGTCGGTGGAATTCTACACGGTATTCATAGGCTTGTTGGCGGGATGATGATGTCGTCAAAGGATAAAGATACCTCCATCATCGTAGCAAGGTAACGCAAATCCATCGATAAACTTGGGAGACATCTTCCCCGCGAAGGATAACAGTCACGACATCCAAGTACATCTCATCTCATCTCAACACACCACAGTCATTCACTTCCAAAGATAAAGGGGGCAAAACTCATTGAACTTCTGCGACTATCAATCAGTGCCAGACATGAAGCCACTTGGCCTCGTCATAAGCGCGTTGTGTGCCGTCTGTTTCTTCCTCTGCAGGATCCGTCTCTCCTCGCTGCGCCTACACTCTCCTGTGATTTGCCCATTTCGCAAGGCCCTTTCTTCTCATCCGCCCGCCTGGTGCGCGCAAGTCTTCTTTTCCAGTAAAGGAAAGAGGCTCCGACGAAATCGCATACAAGTATGGCCTAGAGCAGAAGCCTCCAGAGAGGCTAAAGACTCTTCCTTTCCCGGCCCACCTGATCACTTGACCGAGTGGGTTCTTCCGAGTTGGGATATGGCCGACTCCGAAATGTGTATTGACGTTGTTCATTTCCCCATCTCTCATTGCTCTCGTTTCCCCGTCGAAGGATGAAATCAAACTCCATGTTCCATCTGAGGGAAACTCCTTCTACATGACTTTTAGGTCGCCAACGCGCTTTCTATGCGAGGCGTACATGACAATGAGGACTCCCGCCTTCTCTCTAATCCAGCCTTCCGTCGCGAAAATCAAAGTCCAGAAGATAACAGCCAAGGGGTAGGTGAAGTGATTGAATAAGGGGGTGCAGTTTCGTGATGTGATATGGTGTGCTGACAAGGGGTATTGGGTGAAATTAGTCCTGGGGTGGTGGTGGTGCAAGGGTGTCTATATACACGCGAGGGAGCTCCGTGTCTTCGATGCTGTGTTGTGGCAAGAGCTGGGATTGGCTGTTCTCTCTCTCCTCCGTTTGACGCAGATCCAGGTTTCGGTAGAGAAACCGGCTGCTCCAGGATACGTGCTGGGCTTGGGGGGTTGGTTGGGTGTGAATAATCAAACAAGTCGAAATACAGCGTCAGCCTCAAGCTTTACAAAGCTCAAGTCTGCGCCATGACGCTGGAAGAACCGCCAAGCTGACGCTTGACCTGTTCGCGTGCCCAGCGAGCGGTCTCGATGGTTCGGGGCTGGAACTCGCGGTTGGTCTTGGTCTCCTTGATGAGGGCGGTGAGCCACTCCTGGCGGAAAACGTCGACGAGCTCGCCGTTGGGGTAAGCCTCAGCCAGGTCGCCGATAACACCCATGGATGCACGCATGAGCGCCTCGCTACGGTTCATGTCGCTGGCAATCATGTTCAACAACTGGAAGATCGAAGGCACGTATTGCTGAAGCGCCGGAGCTGCAGAGACTTGTTAGCGGACGCAATGTAGATGGGCAGAAGTAGTTATCGGATGAGACTCACTCTTACCACCGGACCTCATAGCTCCGATGATACCGCCCCAGGCATCCATGATACCCTCGCGAAGAGAGATGACGTAGTCGTACATCTCGTAGGGGCCCTCGGGACCGGCGTTCACGGTCGCCGCCTGCTGCAAAACCTGAGCGATGACGGACAGGTAAGTCTCAAAGTGACCACCAATGGCGCCGGCAATGTCACCGAAGCACTGCAGGATCGCAGGCTTGAACTGGTTGCTCAAGGCGGTGCTCTGTGAGAATTGTTAGCAAGACTCTTACACGCATGTTGCCGATCCAAAGCCACATCCACAAGAGTGAATGAAAACACTTGAAAGTCAGTCGGCAGCGATAACGTACCTTGAGGTTGTGAAGCAGGTGGTTCATGAAGTTGTCGCAGTACGGCTGGCTGCGCTCGCCAAGGGATCGCGTCAGGTCGCTAACAAGACCGATAGCCATGGAGCACAGAGCGGGCTCCTCTTGGTTCGACAGAGCGTTGTAGAGGAAGGGCGTGAAAGCCTCCATGTACTTGGAGAAGTCCTCCTCCATAGCGTTGGCCAGAGCGCTGATGGTGGCGAAGATACCATCGGGAACGCTGGACTTGCCGCCCACAGTGCTCAGAATCTGGAGAAGTGTCTGCATGATTCTGTCACCCTGGGGAATGATCTCCTTGTCGAGTCTCTGGATGATAGCCTGAAGAACGGTGCACAAGCTAGTTTGCATCTCCTCCAGCATGATCCTGTCCTCGACGCTAACGACCTGGGTCTGCATGGGAATGGTGCCTTCGAGTCGCTCAATCACGACGCCGGAGAGAGAGGCAATGGGCTGCATGCTCTCACTAGCAGCGTTCTGCACAAAGACGTTGAGAACCTCGTAAGCGGCGGTGCGGACGTACGAATCGCAGTCGGGGCGGGCCGTTAGGCCAAGCAGGTTGGTGACGCTCTGGTTGAAGTGGGGTGTCAGAGGGTTCTGGGCGGCACCGAGGTCGCCGGAGAAGCGCTCGGCCAAGTTCATGAGAGCCCAGCAGCACGAAGATGCTATCTTTGCGCTGCTCATAAGGCCGTTGAACAGGGAGCGGATGAGAGGGTCGAGGTGCTGGTTGGGGTCGATGCTGTCGGACACGCTCTCAGTGATGCGGCCGAGGGCATAGGCGGTCGAGTCCTTGACGTGCAGGGAGCTGTCGTCCATCATGCCGATAAGGATAGGAAGAGCCTGCTTGACGATGGGGTCGAGGACCTTCTCATCGGGGCCGTCCATGATGGCGCCGAAAGCTGAGACGGCGGCATCACGGTGGTGCCAGTCTTCGGCACGCAGGTTGCCCTCAACGAACTGTAGCACGGGGCTGATGATAGCGGCACCAATGGCCTGGGCGTAAAGGGCGAGACACTGGTAGGCGGCGCGGGCCAAGTTGTACTCGTCATCGGCCGCATCCTCGTCCTGCTTGGTCAGAAGCAGAAGAAGGACGGGCACAACCTCGTTGGCTGCTACGCGAGCGAAGTTGTAGAAGGGTCTCATCTGGTCGGCGCTCTCGACCTGAGCGTTGTCGTCCTCGATACCGATCTCCTCCTCGCAGACGGTGCTCCAGAACTCAACAGCCAGCTTGGCAACATCCTCATCCGAAGACTTCATGCCCAGAATGGTGAGGCCAAACAGAGCCTTCTCCATGTAGAAGCGCATGTTATCGTAGTAGAGACCCATGATGCGGTTGAGGCATCCAAAGGCGCCCTGCTGTATCCGGGAGTCATCGGCCTGGGTGGCCTCGCAAACAACCTGCATGATGTAGTTGCGCTCGCCCTCGTGCTTGAAGTTGTTACCGACGAACTCGAGCGAGTCTCCCAAGGCCGTGATGGCAGCCAAGCGAACCTCGAGGCTCGTCTCCTCCTTGCGGGCACCCTGAACGACGGCGGTCAGGATGGCGTTGGAGTGAGCAATGAGAGCCGTTCGCAGATCGGGATCTTGGCTTTCGCAGATGTAACCGATCGTGGTCAAGGAGGCCTGCTTCTGGTGTTCGCCACCCTCGCTAATGTTCTTGACGAGGATGCCCATGAGGTCCTGCCACTGACTTCTCGGCAGCTCGATCGAGGCGATGGAGGAGATGACCTGAGCAGCTGCCTGACCGGCCTGGGAGTTGGAGGAGCCGAGGGTCTGCAGGGTCAAGTTCTTGACCTGCGTCTTTGTCTCGTCGTCGGTCTGTTGGAGCCATTTTGCCTGGAGCTCTTGGTGACGGGCAAAGTCACGGGCAGTGAAGGCGTTCTTCAGGGCGAGACCTGCGGCGGCACGAATGGAACCATCGGCGTTGTCGTTTGCAAGCTCTTGAACGAGGGTTGCGAGGTATAGGGGCTGTTGGGAAGGATGGTTAGCAAATTTGCCAGCGGCGGTGGGGGGAGGGGGCACTCGGGATGCAAAAGTGGGCGGGCACATACGAAGTTGTTGTCGGCTGCTTGTGTAAGTTGCTGCTCGGCAGCGTTGCGCAAGTTCGCGTCTATTCAAAATGTCAGTATGATCATGGAGGTTGTGGCGGTTCGGTGATGCGCGGTGTGAAGGAGGAGGCTAAGAAAGAGTAGGTTCTGTTCCATTGCCCTGGCGACAATTTGGGGGAGAGTAGGGGGTAGGATTTGCTGGCGATGCAAAACCTGGCAGGTGCCGCGAAGAATGAACGAGGCCAAAACCACGACGAGGACGCAAAATTGCTTACCTGGCGACAGCGAATTGGCCAAAACCTGGTTGATCTCTGAGCCCGACATGTTTGCCGCTCTCGATGTGTGGTGGTTTGAAGGAGGTAAGGCTGAGCCAGTGCCGATGTTTGGAGAGGTTCGGAGGGGGGCTCGTTGACAAGTTGCACGTGTCAGGAGGTGGGAGGGAAAGGGTTCAGCAAGGCACCGCAGCTGAAGTCAGAGCAAAAAGCGGGAGACGCGGGGGTGTTTTGTGGCGGCGGGTGGTCTAGGCAGAGAAGACAGGACCAAAGGTTTGGTTGGCGTAAGGTGGTGTGTGAAGCGGGCGCCAGGGGCAGGGTCGGCAGTGCGTTGAGAGCGGCGACCTTGTGAGTGTAGGTGGGAGGATGGAAGAGAGAGAGAATGACCGGAACCGAACGGACGGCAGAGAGAGGTAGAAGGAAGCGAGAGAATATGCCTGTATCGTATCTGTGTGAGAGAGAAACACGGCAAAAAAGGATTCGCTCTGGGTTCCGAATTAAAATGATGCGCCAAAAGACGATGTCTTGTGGTAAGGCCTTTTGCAAGAATTAGAGGGCGTACCGCAAAGAAAAGATGGTTGCGACAGTAAACAAACGCGGGAACCGAGTGGTGTAATGTGAGGATTTTTATGGTTTTATTTTTTTTCCCTCTCTGTTTCCCTTTGGGTTGGTGAAGGAGAGGAAAAAATAGGAGCGGGACCTGGACGAGGTTGTTGACGATCTCAGGCTGCTGCCCAGTTACAGTATTGAATGGCCCGCTACGCAGTTGTGGTGCACCGTAATAAGCCAGGTAGGTACCTCAGCCCAGGGACGCAATTAAAGCAGCAGGAGCAATAGAGGAGAATCCAGGAAGGGGGGGATGGTGGTGACAGCGGGAGCATTAGAGACAGCATACAATGGGCGGTGAATACGCATAGGTAGGTGATCCCCTGAGGAAGGTCACCAGCAGCAGTGGATGTCTAGTCGTCACCTTTCTGTTTTTTTAGTTCATCCTCTTGCTTAGGTGCAGCAAGGTCTTGCGCCTTCTTTTCTACGGAGTACTGATACCAAAAGACAATACCTTACAGTGCGGGATACGCAGCTCCAAGAGGTACCTGGCATGGACATGTAAAACCGCCACTTTCTACAGGCTGGCAAGGTGACCCGACGGTGGCCAGCCGATAGGAGCAAGGGTAAAAAAGAAACGACTGAGGAAAAAAAAATAGGACGTTAAATGAGTGTGGGGAAGGAGAGAGGTTTCTGATGCACAAAACCGAAGAGGGGTCGTTTCCGTCTGCTTCTAGCTTCGTCTGCACCTGCACTTTTAGAAATTGTTGGCTACCTTACCTCCTTGAACTGACGAGGAAGGCACGGAAACGAGAAACACTCCTTCTCCCTATGTCTGTGGACATTGTTACATCTTCAACGGCACTGCAAGTCCGTTTGGATGTTGCTTTTCAGGCGTCTCTGGATGGACCGACCGTTCACACGAGCCGGGGGGGATACCTACTGAACTTTCGGCCAAAATATGAATCAACCGAGGGCGGGGAGGGGCAGAAAGTGAATCAAAATAATGAATGAGGCATTCTGTTTTTTTCCTTTCCTATTGCGGCATGTCTTTGACACCGTGTGGTCCCGCCTCTCCTGTACGTATCCGACGGTTCCCTGGGACTAGGTAGGAGTTAGGCGCTCATCCCTCCATACTTTTCGTTTGGCGTCTTCAACACCAGAATACAAAGTCTCTTCAGATCCCACAGTATTGTGTCTCCAGTCTCTACTCCCATCTCCGCCCGGATTCATCTCACCAACACCGAAAAGACAAACAGTGAGGCTAACCTCATCAGGCGAGAAACCCCACACAATAGACGGGCAGACTCACAATGGGGCGTCAGGGCTGCAGCTGCGCCTGGCGTTGCCGGGCTGCCCTTTGCCCCCTTCGCTTCGTTCCCTCTCAGAGTCAATGGAAGAGTCAGCTATGTTTTTTCCTGACAGAGACACGGCTCGTGGAGAATGCATAAATTCAAAACTGAAATGGCCTTTATTCACTGGACTCTAAAACTGCAGCAAAAAGACACAAAATACGAGATGCCCCTTGCTCAGCCAGGTTGATGGTCAGCAGCCCAATCCAACGCTGCTGCCCCTCTTCTCGGCCCATGTTCCGTGCCTACCTTACTCTCGCTAGGGAACGGGAGACAGGGCAAAAAGTACCGACGGTGTTGAGATAAAGACCACATTCGGGGGTGTCTTGAGACGACTGTTTGCTTCTTACCGAACCCAAATAATGCAGGTGCGTAAGGCTGCTGCTTTGTGCCCTGTGGTTGCTGCCGGTCCGGTTGGGGTGACAGGCACCATCCGAGCCCGCAAAAAGGTGTTAGCCCGACGTCATCTCTTTCCCAGGCACCTGGATCCGAGCGCCTACTCGCCTGCCTTGGCTCAAATTGAACCCCCGCGACTCACTTCGCAACTCCTGGTCATCTGACTATTCTGTGGGCACGAATCAATGAAGGATTCAATAAAATTCCGTGGATCTTGGCTTGCTGGAGTTGAGCCGATTACCTGGTTGATGAAACCCTACTTGATGTTGGGGGCACGATACCAAGAAGGTCAAGGTCGGTTTCCGCAATATGAATGGCCCGTCAAGTACGCCTCGTGATATGCTCTGAAACGTTTTAATGATGTAGATACTTGTTGTTTCCATTCTCAACTCGATTATGTTTTCCGGGCATAGATACCTAGGCTAGCTCCTAAGCTCACCCGGCACTTCACAAGGTATGTACTCATGCATCCTGAGGTCGGAAGACATCATCAGTAGCAACGGCCGGCTGCCTGTCGCACTCAACACTCATTCGCGTCCTTCATCCCTCATTTGCAACAACAGTGTATTGAGAGAATCTCAATTCGGATGCATACCTCGCCACACGTAGTCTTCCAAAATCCGCATTAACCATGCCATCTTGTGTGCTCTTCGTGTGATTTGACTCGCCGCAGTTGAGAGGGGCGAAGCCCAGGTCAAGAGTACTCGGGCTCTGTAAAAAGACTCATGGTCGCCGTCGGAGATGAATGGGTGGCAGCCCCCAGACGCTATTGAGCTGCTCCAGCCTTTCCAAGAGGAACAGGAGATGAAGAGTCATCCATTCATGGTAACTTCGCACAGGTGACGTATTGTAGGGAGTGCGATGACTTTTGAAGCCCAGCTCAACCCCTAATCCCTTGCAAACACTTACCACTATGGCAGCCTGTCATGATTTTGTGTCTCCATTCCTCATTATATCCCATGAAAATTACTTTATCTATGATGGAGGCCTGCTCTTACAAACACTACTTTTGATCCTCTTCCCTTGATTCTTATGCTCGCACTTTCTCGTCCACGACCGGAATCTCTGCGCTGGACGGACTTCAGTAACAACGCTGAGCCGAATATGCTCTTCCTAATAACACCGAGCCACAATGTTGGCGTGCTTGGAAGAGAAAGGAACCCTGAGCGCGGGTCAACCTCCTTTATGTTATGGAGGAATCCGCTCTGATGTGGCGAAAACAAGCAGTACACGTCTTAGAATGAAGAGGGGGGGAAGGACCAGTGTCGTGAGCAAAGACTGATTGACCCAGGACTCCGAGAAGAGGTTGGATCTCTACATCAGTAATCGACAGGCATCTGGTCTTGAAGCACAGCGCGCGTCCATTACCAGGTGATGGAGCAAACGCGAACCATGGCATGATCATCGGCCCCCGATACGTCCTGGGACTACATCGAGCGAAGTCTGCCACCGACGCTGCTGTTAATCCAGGATCCCAAATATCAGTGTATGTATCTGTATTGGGCTGAATAGTCCCAATGGAGGTCGGCCCAGACCTATAAAACCCCTCTACCGCCACATCTATTCTTCCCTCGCCAGGCTACCAGCGAAGGCCCAGGTGCAAGACGAACATTGCGTCTTGACGTGTGATCGACGAAGTCATTTCTTTGATTCGATGCCGTCGATGTCCACTTATGGTGACATGGGCTATCTTTGTACTCTCCATACCAGATTGAAGCTCCAGGGCAACTTCTAAAAGCACATTGACTCCTACCTCGTTCTTCACTCTAGGGGTATTCATCCTAGAATATAGTGTAGGAGGCAGATAGAGCGTAATTATAGACACATAAAGTAAGGTACCTTCTGTTACCTACCGTGTACATCCTCAAGACGACCAGCGAGGTCAGGCAAGGCTCTGTCTAGCGAAGACCAGGAAGATTGATTTCTCGCAGTCGCAGCGTCTGTCTTAGGCCTTGTACACCTAGAAACCAAGCGTTGCCAAGGTGCTTGCTGGGCTCTGATTTACTTCAATTATCCTGTATTTATGTATGAGTAAGAAGACACCTACGAGAACTTTGGGACCTCATCGCAGTCGTCCACTGAATCCCATCGTTGATCGGAGAAGACAGGAGATAGCTAGGGAGAAAAACAGATACGCGAGGATCTCGAAAACATGAGCTCCGTGCGATCCATGTCTTCGATTCCCGTCATCTCACCTTCAGCTCCGGGTTGGTCAATGAGAAGGAACCTATCAGCAAGATTTGAGACGTGCTTTCCATTGATATAATCAACCAGTATAAGAGAACACAGAGCTTTTCAGCCTTGCTACTTCATCACCGGTAATCGACATGCGACAGAATATCATCTCATCATACATGCCATTCATTTGTCCTTTTTGTTCTGTGACCTCTCTTTCTGCCCCGGATATGCATTTTGAACCAAACTTTTCTCATGTCCCTATATGCTTGAAAAACAAAACAATTATCCGTTACCGTATAGCCCTTCCTTCCCTTACAAGCCGTTCGCCTTCTCTTCCAGGACGGAGACAACACTCGGTACCTCGCCGTTGGTTCCGTTCGGTGTCTCGAGGTCCAGCTCCTGGCTCAAGGATCTTGAGGGAATGGGCTTCGCAACGATGGGGCTTCCGGGACGGCTGCCGACAAACTGGAATGACAATGATTAGAACTCATGAGAACACCATGTAGAGACATCAAAGAGGCTTGACTTACGTTGCTGGCAGCACTCAACAAGGCCGTCAGAGAACTCTGGACCACATCCTCGTGGATACCGATACCCCAGTACTTTTGCTTGGTGCCCGTGGCTGTGCACTCAATGTACGTGGCGGCTTTGACATCACGGCCGGCACCAATGGCGTGCTCCTTATAGTCCTCGACATCCAGGGTGACGCCCACGCTCTTGAGGGCGTTGGCCAAGCTGGAAATCG